TGTATAGTTTTGTTTATTTTTCAGCATTTCCAACTATTGGTAGATGTACTCTGAATTTCTAAGTACTTCTAGATGTAAAAGTATAAACCATATATCTAGGGGTGTATTTCACTGGACTCATACCCATCTCAATCGACATGTATTAGGGTGAATTAATTTTCCACCCCAATACACGTGGATTGAAGTGGATATGAGTGCAGCCAAACCAGGCCTATGTATAACTCAGGATTTAGTGGCGAAAGTCACCTGGATGGAAGCTCCTAAATACATTGTATTATTTAGATACATAATTGTAATTAAGTTGTACTTACAGGTTGTACATATATTTAAAGTTTGTTTGGTTGAGCTGTGAAAAAAATTATTGTGAGCTGTTAAAAAGTTATTATGAGCTATATATGTGCCATGGAAAAGCTGTAAGTTGTTTGGTTGAAACAACTATGAAATATATACTTCCTTTATTTATATCCATTGAAAGAAAACATCTCTCTATTTCCATCCATTTGGAAAAATAGAAAGCTGAAAACTAAAAGTAGGACCCAAGGTGCGTTGCGAAAATTATGCTACGTGAAAGCAGCTGCTTCTAAAAAAATAATTTCATTTCTACCCGCCCTCATGACATTCTGTTTTTTTAAGTAGCAGAAGCACTTTTCTAGAAACTGGACCTTTTATGCAGTGGAAAAGCTAGGTTCTTCAATGGCACCATGATGAAGGAAAATTTACTAGTAACCTTCAGTGGCAAAGCTAGGTTCTTCAATGGTCACTCCTATTATTTATAAAGGGCGTACCCAGTGTAGAGAGCTCCCACTGTGTGGGTCTGGGGAAGGGTGTCAGTGGCAAGTCTTACCCTCGTCTGTGCAATGCGAGGAGAGCGTGACTCGAACCCGGGACCTTCCGGTCACAGGCAGCGGTAAGACTCTACAGCTTGCACCAGGCCGCCCCTTCGTCACTCCTATTATTTATGACCACATAAAATTGTATATACATATAGTATCAGATGTATAGTGAAGTGCACCACACCATAATCTCAACTCTAGTTTGGGCCCTGTTTAGACGTGCATATATGCCTATTATACGACTGCAACGATGCTTTTATAGGAGTTTCTATGTTTACTCGAATCATAATGTTTTTTTGGGTAGGGGTGGTTCTTGTCAGATGTAAAAATATCACACTAATAAATTAAGAGCAATTTGTAGTAAAAAATAGCATTGGGCTTCTGATTTGAATAGAAAATGGCTTGATTGTTGTAGGGAAACTTTGCTGAACCTTAAGTTAAATTGGCGTCGTGACTAATCTCTAAATATTTTGAATATAAATTATTAGAAAAAAAGTAAGGATGAATAATACCATGTTTGCAACAAGGATAATGAAAGGTTATGTGAGCACAACGTGCTGAATTGAATTTCCTGATTACTTATATATCTCACACGGTCCTTGATAAAATAGTTATTTAATCCTTTTGCGAGGAAAATATATGTTTGTAATTTGTAAATAATCCATACATATGACAACGTTTCCATGAAAGCAAGAACAAAACTGCTGCTCAAGAATAATTTCAGCCTGATTTGTTTGAATTTAACTTTGTTTTAGCTTTGGCTTTGCCGGCCTATGGCCTATAGACTATATCTCTCCTCATACAAACATGTAGGTACGTGCCTAGAGATATAATGCCTACTCTCTCTAGATGGCCTTATTTGATCGCAAAAGAAGGCTACAGCTTTATAGCATAGATATGTACATAGTAGAGAGTTATATATGCAGCCAGGCAAGCAATGTGAGTCATAAAAGAGAAAACTAGTAAAAGCTAGCAACCAAATGCTATCCTGAACAAAAATTTATATATAAGAGCAGCCCCTAGCACTATACGTTGGCATTTCATTCGTCATCTGACCGACAAGTCAACAGGTTATCACTGGGGATATACAGTTGGTTCAGTACATTGCTTTGGAATATCATAGTAACGGCCAGTACGTAATACTACCCCTCTGGCGGTTATAATTATTTGGCATTTCTTTATTGAAATCTGGACAAACACCTTTGAAACTCTGACCATTGATAGCTAGCTATCAAAATATTTTGTTTCAAAAAAAATATGAAAATCACATATGTAATTATACTTGTCTTGAATAATATTTTTCATAATTCTATACAATTATTACTAGGCATTAAAATATAGGTCACAGAATACTTGTGGTCAAAGTTACACCTCAAAGACCATATAAAAAAAATAAACAATGTCGTATTTTTGTCTAGAGGGAGCATATATTAAGGCCTATATTTTCTAAAATCATGTTTGGGAGCACTTATTAATGTATCCACATATACCACTAGTAACATATGGTCTGGTAACAAAACTTGTAATAAATTTATTACTGGGGATCCATGGATGAAAACTCAAAAGTAGCATATATATCTCCTAGAAACCAATTTTCTGCTGATAAACATGAGAAAGGTACCTAGCAAAGTTAAATTAAAGGCGACGTAAAGAACCAAAGGCTAAGGTTTCAGGCAATAGCAAAAGGGCAAACTTTGAGCCTTCTTTTCCTACTTTGATCATTGCCTGGTGTACGTAATCAGGAATAGGAAGACTGCAAATGAAAGAAACTTAAACTGTAGGATCGACAAACATAGCTCACCAAGATATCGCCCATTAGATTTCGTATAATCATTTCACCTTTACCTTTCCATCCTCCTTTTTTTCAGTTAAATCCATGAACATATATAATTGGACACGGATACATTCAGAGATCAACCTATTTCTCTCTCGTGATTCTTAACAGGCTGAAAAGCACAGTGCATTTGCCATTGGGGCAAAGCATGCATGGGCTTCACATTCTTGAAAGCTAGGGTTATCCAGGCATAGGGAGGAGGTTGCTCAAAGGGATAAACTTTAGCAAAGCACATATCTTTGTGCAAAAGATGAGAAGATTAAAGCAAAACTAGCTATGAGATTCCCATGCATTGGGATCCACCAGGTGTGCTGCATGTTCCAGTCTTCCAGATAATTTCTTCCCCCGCATGCATGCACTAAATCACCAAGTTAAATTGAAATAGAGATGCTACACATCCGTGTAAAACTCAAGTACAAGTGAAGATCGAACAGTTAAAACGACCTAGATGGAAGTTCATCAAGGCATCAGGCAGTGGTCTACTACATGCATGGCTGTAGTTGAATTGTGTAAAAGTAAAACAATGGTTGAATTGAAATAGTTTATTTAATCACACACATCCATTTTAATTTCATCTTTCATGGATATGCATGGCTTAGTTATTACTCAATTCATTGTCCAGTAGTGTGTGCTGGCTTGGATTGGTGATATGCATGGCAATATTGGGTTGTTCACATATGGTAGCTATATATGAAACGCCAAATTCTAATTTATAAGCTAAACATAGTTTCTTTTAAAAAATTCAATTTGCATTCTCCTTGTTTGACACGTAAGCTGGTCTCACTTCATCAAAAGAAAAAAAATGTAAGCCCACCGCAAATTTCACTAAAGACACATTCTATTATTTGATTGAACTTTAGAGGATAAACAAAAAAAAAGTCCACATTGTCTTTCCACAAGAAATACCTAGTATATATCCAAGGAGAAACAAAATCATACATTGCAGGTGTTGGTAAAGACATTCGATTCTATAAATTTTCAGAAATAATATTTCAAAAATTCCCTTCACTTTAATTGATTGATAATTCTTCCAACAGTCACAAATTAGTTTTGGATACTGATATGATCCAAAACAAAACTTTGAAAACAAATCTCTATTTGGTTGGGAAAAGGCAATGTCCATTGTAATTTGTTTGTTAAAATCTAGAATAAAAACATATTAAAAGTAATTATGGACTCTGATATACATATTTCACAGTTTTTATGTGCTCAACACAAGTATTCTCAAACATATTGAAAATCAATCAGTTTTCTTAAGGAAAACGTTGACTTTTTTAAAAAAAACAGTGATGCGGGAGTACATAAGGTATTCTTTTTATGTATAGTTATCTCAAATAAAGAATGGTATAATTTCATCACTAAAGTCATTTATTTAATTGCGTGAAAAAAACTTCCAGGGACCAACTACTGCACTTGCAGTAGTCATGCACAAGTTTAAACTACCTTAGCTTGCAATAATCTGTCTGCATGGATTTTTTACAAGCTGTACCTCATTTTATAACATCTTAATACATCAAATCCATATACATTAAGTTATGTTTGATATGGGCAAAAAAGAGAGTAAAATATCACGAAAAGAGAAATGTGCAGCTCATATGGATTAATTAGTTCTACTAATTGTGTGCCGGTTTCTGATAAAATAATAATAATAATTATAATAATTTGCTAAGTAGGGGAAAACACCCAATCTATTCCAGAACCCAATATGTATTATCCCCAATCATTATAAAACCATCATATAACACTTCATCTTTTAAAGATAATAAATTAAATGCTTAAACAAAACAAGAAAAATCACAAACCCTAACAACAAAAAAAGTATAAGTACAGAATCTGTAAGATTACTATGTACAGTATATATAAAAAAAGTATAAGTACAGAATCTGTAAGATTACTATGTACAGTGTATATATCTTCACAACTTGCATGCATATGCATGATGCACTGCACGATTATTTTCTCAAGTTAACATTAACAATCTGTATATTGCACCGTTCACCATATACCAGATGGATCAAAGAGTCTACACATACAATGAAGCTAGCTAGCTAGATTAAGGGCTACTCAGACGTACAATTAGATCCTTTATATGCATACATAAACCCTGCTGCATGCTTATATATACTTCCATCGTTTAATGCATGGAACCCTTGCGTGCAATCTCTCTTGGGCTAAATCAGCTCTCCTCGATCGGATCGGCACACCTCAAGCTAAGTAAGACACGGATCGATGCATGGTTTCACACACACACAACACACGCACAAGTATACGTTTGCATTTGGCTACAGATCGGTTGCTGTAGTACCGTACCGTACGTACTCACCCTGGTCGATCTATAGCAGTCGGTCGCCGGAGCCTCTGCTTGACGACGACAGTGGCGGCGGCGGCGGCGGCTTCCAGGTGTGGTGATGGTGAGCATTGGCGGCGGCGGATGTAGTAATCGTGCTATTGTTGGCGGCGTGGTCGACCTCGGAGGACGGGTCGCGGTCGTCGTCGTCGAGGTCGTCGAAGCAGTCGATGCCGCAGGCGGCGTGCCCTCGGCCGAAGGCGCGGATGTGGTCCTTGAGGGAGCGCTTGTGCTTGAAGTCGGACCCGCAGGCGCAGTACCAGAGCTTGCCGCAGTTCTTCTCGTGGGTGCGCCAGTCGCCGCGCACGGCGAAGGCCTTGCCGCACTTGCGGCACATGAAGGGCTTGATGCCGTGCTTGCGGCGGTAGTGCGTCTGCAGCGTGCGGAAGTCCTTGAGCGGCCGCGCCCGCGGGTGGTCGATGTTGTTCCGGCACCCCGCCGCGCAGCAGTAGCACGGCAGCCGCAGCATCGCCGTCGGCTGCGTGCCCCGCAGAGACTCCGGGCCCTTGCGGTACTGCGACCCGTGGCCCCACATGTGCATCTGCATCCAAGGCATACATAGCATCAGTGGAGTTGGAGTGCATCCATCGATATAAAATCTATTGTGGTGTGATAGTCTGATAGACATAGATTAATTACTGCACGCCATCGATCGCCATGTGAGTTATTAAGCAATAGTGGAAGCTAGAAATAGATCAATCGATATGCAGCATGATGCCGCCCGTATTGCCGTGTGAATGAGCTAGTATGTATAGGCTGTAGCTATGTAGTTCGTTAGCTGCATGCATGAACACTGACCGAGCAGCCGTGTGGTGTGGGTACTGGCCGAGTACTGGGCTAGACGTTGGCTAGTCAGGAGGGAGAGAGAGGGCTCAGAGCTGCAAGTGTGTAAAATGCAAAGTGGAGTGACGCTCTTCACGTGCTGGAGCGAGGCGACGGCCGGACGGAGAGCGCCATCGAGATGAGGGACCAGCTGTAGCTCCTCTGATCATCATCGATCCCTTCGCTGTTCGTTCAGTTCTTGGATACTGGTCTACCATGGCTACCTTGTAGTACGCAACGCACATTCATAGTTGCATCAATCTAGGAGTAGTATGTTGAGACAGAGAGGAGAGAGGAGGGAGAAGATCGAGCAAGCAGCAAAAGGGTTGTTACGGAAGGGGTCTGAGCAAATGGACTGTGCGACATTGATGAAGGGCACTGCTCGTGGTGGGGTTTGTTGCGATGAGAGAGAGGAGGGGTAGAGATCTAGAGAGAGAGAGAGAGAGAGAGAGAGAGAGAGAGAGAGAGGAGGAGGAGGAGGAGGAGGAGGGGGCCTTGAGACCTTGTTTGTTTGCTTGAGATGCACATCTGTGTAGCCTGAAGGAACTGATCAGGCAAAGATAAAGGTGCCTTTTTGCCAGATCTTTCTTCTCAGATCTCCCCCCCCCTGGTCTCTGCATCCACACACACCGCGGATCCAATCGAAAAAGGCAAAATAAGCGCAGACTCCAACAACACTGTATACTACTACTCCTACTAGGTAGCTAGCGCAGGCTCGTCAGAGTCCTTCCCCATGTCAATGGTCGTTTGGCACGGCAGCCATTACTGAATGCCTCTGTGCCGCTCCTGCTTCTCCCTTTCTGCCTCCTTCTTCTGCTGCTCGGTTCAATCACATCAAAGATATGGCTCTCACCGTACTCTACACGGGATCAGAGAGAGGGGGAAACGAAATCGAAGCCTGCAGGTGTAGTACTCCTAGAGCAGCGGCACTTCCTCCTAGATTCGCCACTCGACGGCACACACAAGCTTGTGATCGATGCATGCACATCTCTTCTGATGGTCTAATAATCCATGCAGCAAGGAAGAGGAAGCACAAAAAAAATTCAGACAAGGAAATTCACATAGATCAATCAAAACACCAAGAAAAGCAGCAGGTGATAATCACGAACAAGTAAGAGCGGAACCCAGCAGAGCAGCAGATCGACCAAAATCAGGCACACCAAGAACAAGAAAAAGCATGCAGATCGATCGATGAGACTGAGTCTCGAGATGAGCTGATCAGACCTGCATGTTGTTGTATCGGTTGAAGGTCTTGTAGCAGACGGGGCAGGAGAACTGGGTGGGCCCAATGAGGATCTGCGACGGGGTGGGGATCCAGTACTGCCCTTTCGTCAGCCTCCCGATCCCGATGGACGCGCAGCCCACCGCTATGGCGGCGTCCTCCTCCCCTTCCTCCTCTTCTTCTTCTCCTCCTCCTTCATGGTCGACGCCTTGCTGCTGCAGCTGGCTCCTCCCTTCCGCTGCTGCTGGCTCCTGGCTCTCGCCACCGTCCGCCGCCGACTCGGAGGGGCTGGGGCTGGGCAGGCCGATGTGCAAGGCCACCGTGACCTCCCCGGCGGTGGCCTGATCGGCCGCTTCTTGGTCGTCGCTGCACGAGGTGGCGTGCTTGCAGTCCTTGTGATCCCGGACGTCGCCGCCGTGGTGGTGGTTGGTTGCTGACGACGACGGCGTGAGGTTGCTGAGGAGGGGGAGGGCTGATGGGAGGGGGAGGGGACGGCGGGGGAGGAGGTAGGAGGAGGGAGCTGGGGGGGAGGAGGGCCGGGGCAGCGTTGGAGGGGGGAAGGAGGTGGCCTGAGGAAATTGGGCAGGGGCGTTGGAGTGGAGGGTTGGGCTGGAGTGGAGCTGAAGTAGTAGAAGAAGAGGAAAGGTGTGGATGGAGAGGGAGATGGTCTCTCCCATAGGTGGAGTGGAGGTTTTGATTGGCTGGAGTGGAGCTGAAGATAGAAGAAGAGGAAGAGGTGTGGATGGGAGAGGGAGATGGGGAACTATTATAGAGAGAGAAGAGAGATGACTGGGTTTGCTGATTGCAGCTGCTAGTAGCTACCTAATGGAGAGAGAGAGAGAGAGGAGTGAGCTTGCAGCCCTAAAGGTGTAAATGAGGTTGTAGTGGATGAAAGGGAAGTTCACTAGAGAGAGGAAGAGAGAAAGTGTGTGTGGGAGAGACACAGAGAGAGGTGAGGATCACCTGGCTGGAGAGAGAGAGAGAGAGAGAGAGAGAGAGAGAGAGAGAGATGGCGAGTAGGAACAACAAAAGCAAAGGCTTGGAAAGGGGAGGAGTTCATACTGAAGCTGAACTAGTAGTATGCTGTGAATGCATGGTGAAAATCTTGGGACTTGGAAGCATGAATTCTCCAATTCCCACAGAAGTATAGTAGCATGGGAACCAAATATTCCACCTGCAATGCAACAGACAAAATTTATTTCACTGGTTGAAATAAACATGCATGCGTGAACCCCTGTACGAGTCAATATACTCTTACCTGTGTCAAAAAAAGAATGCAACTACATGTGTGAGGTGCCAGTGAAAGTGGTTCGCGTTTGACCAAATTTATAATTTATAATGAATGATATTCAAATTTATGACTCCATATTAATTTATTATAAAAATATTTCATAACTAATCTAATAATATTTTTTGATACCATAAATATTTATAATTTTTTATCTATAACTGATTAAACTTAAGATATTAAAAACATGACAATATGCTAGAATTGTATTTTTTCTGGCACAGAGGGAGTACCGCTGCTTAAACCAGTCAACAGGTTATAAAACCCGTCAATATTCAATGCATGGTTTATTGTGAAAATAGCAAGGTGGAAAAGAAAATCAAGTGTGTAATCATATGTGTTAGTAAGATTTTGCTCCGTGACAAAAAGAATAAGTTAGATGAGTACTAGAAGGTGCACATGCGCGTGTCAAGTCCTAAACAAGCTCAAACAGAGATAATCACAGAGAAGGAGATAGACTATGGCACCGTGACAAGCTTCATGCATCATGCATGCTAGCGTTACATGCATGCATGTTGCTGTGTGTCCCACCTAGAGAGAGAGAGAGAGAGAGAGAGAGAGAGAGAGAGAGAGAGTCGGATCGGAGGTGGTGTGCCAAGAAGCACAGCTCGCCGGCGGCCCACGCATATAATTACAAAAAGAGGGTTGTTTTAATTTGGAGGACACGGTCACTAGCATACAATTATCATATATACACTGTATAAAATATGTCAAAAAAAGTATATGACTATAGTATAGTATGAATGTTTGACAAAAAAAAATTCCATGATTTGCTTCGGTTATTTGTAAGAAGCAAATAATAATGCTGCAGAAAGGAAAAGAAATGGAAAGAAAAGGGCCGTGGAAATTAAACAAGTTGTGATAGATGGATATGTATGTATCTGTAGGCTGTAGCTACGCCACTTTTGCTTTGTGGAGTGGAATACTAAAGCAGACCTTTTGGGCCCAGTAGCTTTTATTTGCAAGTTACACTACGTCAGATTTGGAGATCACTGTCGGCCTTATCACTGTCAGACTTGTGAGAACCAGCAATGATGTATCTTCACTGCCGGTTATGAGTTTGAAAATGAGAAAATGATTGGGGCCGGGCTAAAACCACCAGGGAAGCACCACATCACCGCCGGTTTGTGGCTTGAACCGGCAGTGTTTTGGCGGCCACTTATCATTGCCGGTTCATGCCACAAACCGACAGTGATTTGGCTCTATCACTGTCGGTTCTAGCCAAGAACCGACGGTGATAAGCCTACAACACAAAAGGCCGCAGCCGTCCTCTTCTTCCTCCTCTCTTCCATCCCGAGAACATAGGTGCGAGTTTGGACCCTTCTCTTCATTGTTGCGGCTGCTCTTCACCATGAAGCTAGCGCTTGGATTTTGAAGAATGGCTTGATCTTTTTACTTTAAGGTTAGTAACAAACATCTACTCCTTTGATTTTGTTGCTTAATTAGCTTCGTTTTGATGGCTACATTGCTTGATTCTCATTCTAGTTTTTTCTTCATTCTAGAGAGCACTTTTCCAATTGGACATTTGTGTAAGACTCAAATTGTGGTGAATCCGTCATTCAAACGGTTGGTGTCTATGAACACATTTAAATTCCTAGCTAATTATTCCATGGTGGTCAAGATCATCATTGTTAGTATGTGATGGTATAATTAGTTCTTAAAAGTAGAGTAGAATAGTTGTTCTTCAATATTGTGCAATAATTGTTTTTTACTACGATTTTCAATTTACAGGGCCAGGGCTACCAATTTCAATTTTCCAATAATTAGTGTACATTAATGTTTTCCAAAAATGGTACTTTCGAGCTACAATTGTTGTTCATAAAGCTAGATTTCTTATTAATTCTTTGTAATTGCTGTCTCAGTATTTTTTTTGTGCAGAGATGGATCGAGAGTGGATGCATCTGTCCCGAGACAGACAAGCGGTACATACATGGCGTCAGCTAGTTTATTACCGATGCTAAAGCCCATGCTGGGAATGGGAACCCTATTTTCTGCCCATGCAAAGATTGCAAGAATCAAAGGAACTTTCATCAAATTGAGTCTATACGATTGCACTTGATTACCAGATAGTTCATGCCAAACTATACGATATGGACTCTGCATGGCGAGGTTGGTGTGAATGTTCTGTAGGAAAACGATGATGATGTGGACATGCCTGACGTAGCCATCCACGATGCTGACGAGGAACCCGGTGTCAACATGGAACATATGGCCACAGTTAATAATGTGTTTAGCAACACGCTAGTTGACGACACCGAGGATAACGATGGCATTTCTCAGCTGCTACGTAATGTAGAGACCGGATGTCTTAGTGAAAGATAGCTGAGAAAGCTAGAGAAAATGAGACAAGATGGCAAAACACCATTGTATAGGGATTGTCCAATGAGCAAACTGAAATTCGACATCATGCTGTTAGAGTTCAAATCGACAAATGGATTGAGCTATAAAGGCTTCGATCAGTTGTCAGGTATAATAAGGAAAATGCTTCTAGAAAAAAATGAGTTGCCAGAAAAGACATACTTGGCCAAGCAAATGATCTGCCCCATCGGCCTCGAGGTTGAAAAAATCCATGCGTGTTCCAATGATTGCATATTGTACCATGGAGAAAAATACAAAGACTTGGACAAGTGCCCCAAGTGTGAAGCTCCACGGTACAAGGAAGGGCCGTCAGATGAGGGTACCAAGACCAGAGGAGGTCCCGTAAAGGTCGTTTGGTATTTCCCTATAGCTCCCCGGGTGCATAGGCTGTTTGCATGTGCAAAGTCAGCCAAGCTGTTGCGCTGGCATGGCGAAGAGCGTAAGAAAGATATAATGATGAGGCACCCTGCCGATGGGCATGATTGGAAGACTGTCAATACTATGTTCTATAAGGACATCGGTGGAGAGGTAAGGCACCTTTGGTTTGATTTGAGCACAGATGGGATGAATCCTTTCGACCAGGTTAGAAGCAATCATAGCACCTGGCCAGTGACGCTCTGTATATACAACCTTCCACCTTGGGTCTGTATGAAGCGGTCGTACATCTAGATGCCACTACTGATCCAAGGGCCAAGACAACTTGAGAATGACATCGATGTGTTTCTGGAACCAGTGATCGATGAACTAGTGAAGATGTTTGAAAAGGGTGTTGTCGACATGGAATTTTCGTCTTCGTGCTGAGGACACATGCAGCAAGCCGAAAGGGTCCGCTCGATGGAGCAGATCCGCCTAGCTTCAGTGCAAGGGTGGTCGATCCTACACAATCCTCCCGAGATGTGCTAGTCAATGTGACCCTGCAATTGACAAGGAGAGAAAGCTCATAAGTAATTAAAGGCGGAACATGCCGGTGTTGCCAGATAGTCCCGAATGTGCGGCTCTGAGAGCCGATATGAGAGGAGATCGACTAAATAGTCGATTTCAGCATATTCATAAGAATAAATCGACTAAAGCTCATGGGGTTGTATAAGAAGAATCGGTTATCATTCAGAATAAATATTATTTAAGCAAATGTTAATCAATGGCAATAAAATATCAATGATGATTGGTTTATACTGAGCCAATGATTACAAGTAATCGAACTCCTTTTTATATAAACGAAACAATTCAACACCACTTAACCATTTAATAAAGATAAATCTAATGAACATGTTAGATCTCATCTATCGCCATGACCAGTGGGGCATAAGGCAGAATCATGCAGGCCGTAGAAACAACAATAGACTCGACGACCGTAACTCATTACTAATATCAGTGGGGCATGAGGCAGAATCATGTAGGTCGTAATACAATAATAAGATCATGGGGCTAACATATATTTCAACTTATCTCTACTTCAATGATCTCATAATGTGAACTGTTCGTGAAAGCGCTCGATATCGGCTAAACAGCCGATTTAGGCATAGCGCTCAGTTAAGGTCATGCCTTCTCAGGAACGGGTCTACCAACTAACGATCCCCACTCCATGGTGCCAACAGTGGGGTGAGAGGCAGAATCCCACAGGCCATGATGACGGGCCATGGAATGGTTTTCATTAACTAATAGATCTATTCGAGATCGGACATGCCTTAACCGCACGCTATGCACGATTAAGATTGATGTAAAATAGCCAATAAAAACATAACTCATCGCTTAAAACGTAGATTAGATCAATTTTTAGATTAGCAAACGATGAGTTAAACAAGATATAAGGCCGATCCAGATCAATCTCAATCGGCCAGAGTGACATTGCTGTAATTAGATAAACAATAAAAGCAATAAGCAATATCGGTAACTTAATGAATCTACCAAAGACTGCCATACTAAGGTAGAGCCGATAACTTGACCTTGATCTAATTCAAGCAGTGGGGTGCCACACAGGCCATACTTGAATTAGACAAGAGTCGATAACTAGCCTATACCAGAGTCATAGTG